TTTGAAGTTGTTGAGCCATGGCCTCAGCTGGTGTATATTGCGGTAGTGCCCTGACTTTAATTTAAACCAGCTGATGAGCCACTCCCTCCTCCCCCACACTCCTCCGCACACTTCCCCACCTTTCTAAAGGGTGGTCGACTTATGTGCAGTGGAATCTGTACCATGAAAATCAAATAGGCAAATACAGAAAATTTAGCAAGTGCCCTTTGTGGATTGAACTAGTAAGAGTAAACTATGGCACACACTCAGGAATGACAAAGAGTGTTCAGTAAATTGCCACTGTCTGGAGGCATGGATAGAGTTCCCTTACCTGTGGCAGTGAAAAGCGAAAAGAAATTCTCCTCTTTATAAAAATTTGCATCTTGCTACATAAAGCAAGAGCATATCTGGGTTTTGATGGGTGCCATGGCAACAATGTTACTGGAGCATAGCATAGGAGCATTTTTGGAAGGAGGGAACAGGATGAAACAAAAAGCTTACTGGTTATCTGTGGACACGAGGACTTTTGCTGCAGACCCAAAGACAGATTCTCCTCCTTCTTGATCCTGGGTGGCTATTTAGAGTGGCCACCACATTCACACTTCCACTTTATATTGCAGTTGTCCAGAAATAAGTAAAAAAGAGGAAAACCTGCTACAACTAGAAGAATAGACCTTAAACATCGTTCAGAGTTCCATTATATTTGCATCACTTAAAAGAGAAACACAATGCAGAACTACTAAACCACTATGTTTACTAGCAAAGAACAAAACCACAGGATTATATGTTCAGTAAAGCCTATGCTTAAGTACCATAATTTTAAAAAATATATGCATGTAGAGAAAAACTGATAACCATGGCTCTGCTTTTGTTCTGAAATAACTAATTTCAGCACATTTTGCCCAGGAGTGAATGCTCCCTTTTTTGAGATCTACAAAACACCTGCAATTCTTCTATAATTCAGATATTCCAGTGTCAGTAAAGGGGCATTGATACTGGAACCTCTTTCATGCAAGCTTATATCTCTGAGGTTTGTGTGCAAAGAGAATAGCTTAACATTAACCAGTGGCAATATAAAATAATACCTTCTGCAATGGCCATGGGGGAGGCATTAACAGGAAGTCTTAATATTTTCTTCATTTTATCAGCTGAGCACAGCCACATCGCTAGGTCTCTGCATACAAAGCATTATTCAACTTCTTGCCTGTGCAGAAACAGTTGTGATACCTGAGAAACAGACTTTCATTCTCTAATTCCAAGCTCCAGTTTATTTAGATTCTGATTTCTTAACAAAAATCAAACTCTTGCAATATACTTTTAGTCCCTCTTTCTCAGTCACTTTTGAATGTCTTGGCCAATTTGAGAGCAAGGAAGATTTAAAGAGAGTTTCTGGATGTTTCTTGTGAATGAGTGGCTGGAAGGCCAGTGTTAGGGCTCAAAAGTGGTTTTAAACATAAGCAAATCCAAGCAGGAGAGAACTACAGGTCATCAGGGTCTGCAAATCCAGCTGCTTATGGAAACAATTTGTTTTTCCAAACACTCACTGTTCTCATTCTGCATTACTTCACAAACTTTGTTTCCTTTTTGTTCAGATGGTACTAGTTTATTTTCTGTTCACGCAAGAGCCTTCTTGACCCTTGCAGCCCACATCTTCTGCCTTCCTGTTTCTTTGCTCTCGTTTTAGATCTGTTCACACATCCTGCCATGCTTAACGTTATCCTTGGGCCAGTGAAGTTTGCTGTGTAACTTACATTTGTAAATCCTTCTTACAATGTTTTCTTATTGATTGTGTGATATGTGACAATGATTGAGCTTGTCACCCTTTTGTATGTGGATATCCTTCAGATGACCTGGAGAATTCAAAGGATGAACAATATATGCATTATTCTCAAGGAAAAATTTACCAGATCAGCCAGATTTATCATGGCATTTTATTGTTTTGTAATAAGATTTATGAATCAAAAAAATGTCTAACAGTAAGCAGCATGTAAAAAACAGGAATCATAGAAGGCTCTGTTTCTTTGAGATTAGCAGGATAAATACTTAAGTCCAGTATTTCATAGCTCAGAATGAAGGAAAGATTTGTGCAGATCTACTTTTCAGACTTCTTTGTGGCCCAGGAATAAAATATGCTTCCTTCATACAAGAATCCGGTCAAATACATGGTTGCTCTGTGCAGCTGAGTCTGCTGTCTTTAAGTTATAGCTACATAAGTACTCTAAGCGCCGTACTTGCTTTACCTTCTTTAACAAGCCTTCAATTCATTGATGATCCTCCCCTCTGTCAGCAATTTAGTTTACTTAATAAATTACCTATTTTCATTTTACACGGGGTTGAGAACCTTGGCCTCACTACAGATTGGATACGCCTCTGAAATACCTTTAGTGAGTCGAACACCACAGCAAAGGTCTGGATTCCATCCGTTAAGAAAATACACCCACAGGCTTCCTGGTTCCTCACGCCTTGTTCAGAAAAAATTTCCAGCCATCGCACTTACAAAGCATTCCAAGTGTGAATAAAGGTTAGAAACACATGTTCCTGAGTCTGTAGGCAGACTGTGAAAATGGTAGAGAAAGGTGCAGCTTGCATCTCCTGTTAGCCTCACTGGCAGGTCAGCTAAAAACATGTTTAGTATCTGTTTCACTTAAAAAGGGGGATTTTGCACCTTTCGTACCAAGTAATCCATGCAGTGACAAAACCCCCAATTACGGGAGCAAAATAATTATTGTTGATCTTCATTGTGAGTCTCCCACTAATTTTAATAAGCGTGATTCAGGAGAGAGAGGAGAATGGTATTCTAAATACAGATTGCAATGCAAAAAACAGGGGATTAGATCTCCCTTATTAGATGGATGGGACACCTGAGAAACCTGGGTTTATTTCAGACATTGCAGCAGAGTAGCTTTTTAGCAGATATAAAGAAACCCACAGCTCTGAAGTCTCTCTGCCAGCAGCTACGTACTACTTGGAACTATGAATCAGTGTAGGTGACATAGTAACGACTTAAATTATTGAGGTGGCATAAAGCAAGATATTTTAATAAGCAAGGTGATCATTATGGCAGACTACTACACTTCCATACTGCTTGTATAAGTTTCCACCTACTCGTAAGGTGTTTAAGAAAAGAAAGAAAAGATGGTGATCAGCTAATTTAATGTAATGTGCTATGCCTTTTTGTGCCTGCTGGTGGCTAATTCTGTCCTGGCTGCTGGCACCCAAGATGCTGTCATTAGCTTCCCTGCCTGGTGTTTAGTCCCTGAAGAGATTGGGAGCTACGTACCCACTACTGAGGGCCTGACTGAAAAGCTCGGAGCAGAGGAAGCAGTTCCCTGGCAAGAGCCACAACTGACACTGTGTTAGCTTGGTTTGCAGGGCTTCAGCTTTGAACAGCACCAAATGCTCTCCCAAACACAGCCCTGAGCGCCACCCGGCTCTACAGCACAGAGCATTGCAGACCTCCTCCAGCGCAGACTGGCACCAGGAGTCAGTCGGCTAGGTCAGAACATCAGAATGGCTCTGACCAGACTGCTTCACAGATGAGTTTGTACAATGCTTTCTTAAAGTAACAGGTCAAAAAAAGGGGCACAACAAACTTCTCACCGAGTCAAACAGATGAACTCTGCTCTGGTTGTTAAGTTTTGCAATTGCATCAAATGTGTTTTCCCGCGCGTGATGCAGTTCAGAGACTGAAATGCTGAACAGCGGTCTCTTGCTTTTTCTGCCAGATTGCCGTGACAATGCTGCTTTGGTTGCACAGTTCCCACCACATTCTATCTAGATGCTCTGCAAGAAGCCAGACAGTGAATTTTTTTTAAGCACATTGTTTCTTTTCACCTTATCTCATCACCGTAATACCTTTTTTATCTCATCATTGTAATACCTTAACCACATGTCCATTCTACTTCAGAAAGACAAAACACCGTAGTGCTTGCAGCTTATGAGGTGAAGCAAGGGCACCACCACTAGGTAGCACGCAGTCACTGTAGGAAGTATGGCTATTTCCCTTCACGCAGATTGGGCTGTGCAGCAAAATCGTGACTGAAGAGCTGATTACATCCCAGAAACAAGCAAGCTGTTGTTGGCAAATGTAGATATTTTGAGCATTCCAATGCTCTTACTAATTACCTCAGCAACTCCAGCACAACTGGATTTTACCAGTGAATGTTACCAAGATCATGTAAAGAAAAGATGTACCAGTTCTCCCTGCTCCTTCAGCTCAAAGGCCCAAAGCTGTTCTGAACTTCCAGGACTCTGCCAACACAATCAATTCCACCACTACTTAACAGGCCAGGGGAAATGCATCACAGCATAATGAACAAATCTGAGTATTGCCAGGCCTCTTTAAATAGTTGCAGAGGCACCAATATCAGAAACAGAGAGCAAGTCAGTTTATAGACATGCCTGACCCATATTCTTGTAGCAAGAAGTCTCAAAATCTATTACAGTAGCAGTGAAGCAAAAGGTTCAAAAGAAAAAGCATAGAGCTAACAGAACCATTATTGGCCTGAACTTCTGAAATTGGGGCGAGATTGATTTCTTCAGAAACTTTTCATATAACTTTCAATTTTTTAGTATAGCCCTCAGGCCGAGTTATTCACTGCTTTACCCTCTACAGTTCTGCATAGAGAACACAGGTGAGGGTGGGATTTAGGGGGAATCCTCCTAGTGTGTACTTGCAGGCCAGGTTCCAAGAGCACTTGAAATAGTCACTTCCTTTCCCTGACCCAGCTCAAGAGAAGAAAGTTTACGTGGGCCATAGGGGAGTGGAAGGAAAGTGAAGATAAAACTGAGACATTTCAACAGCAACAGATGTCAGGATGCTTTTTGGATTAAGTAAGTAGTTCCTTCCGCTAAAAAAAACACCCATTATCAGCAGACTTTCACCTGACAAACTTTTCTCTGTCTGTAGTACTCTGGAGTAGGTAGTTGTGTATAAAACTGCTTATCTCTTCCACTAAAACCCCTTACATTAATTACACAGGAAAAAGAGAGATCAGGACACCCAAAATTGTTAGTTTATTTTAATTATCATCCTGCAGAGTCACTTCAGAAAAAGGGAAAGCATTTTGTGAATAAATTTTGCTTTTCAAAAACTCAACTGCACCTTCATTTGTCATTTCCTGAAACTTCTTGTTTGGGACCTAGAGGAAAGGAAAAGGTACATTAGTTCTATTGTCTTTAGCAATCTACTCTGTCCCACAAAACAAGTGCTCAGTGATGAGAAGGCCATAGGGAGTCGCTGTGTTTTGAAAACAAGTTGACTTAAATCACTCATTCTATAAAAATCAAGGAAATAAGCCAAAGTCACATAGGTTTTTTAGGTACAGAGCACAGTGGCTTTTTTTTTTTTTTTTTACTGAACTATGATTATATTTATTTTGCTGATAACGGTAAGTAGTAGCTTGTCTTCTAGAGTTCCTCTGTCCCTTCTCCCTGGTGACACCACCAGTACCTTCTAAGTAGAAATGACATACAATTATCACTCTGGACCATTCCCTGCAAGGCCTGTTCTACCAAACATACTCATTGCTGTGCTGATAACAGGGCTGAAACAGAGAGAATAGGACTCTTCTTACCAGAATCACATGATAGCCAAGTTTATTTAGATGTCGCTTCTTCATTGCCAGCTTCCCTTGGGGATGTGTCGTACCCATGCAGAAGGCAGACAGAGGGACAAAGAGAAAAGCCAATCTACAATCAAGAAGAGCAGGGAAGACTCCATTGTACAAATGCAGAATAAGCATTTTAAGACAATGATTCAATGGTGTCCTTTTAACACTGCAGAATATATAGCTGTCTTTCTGGTAGGCAAAAGTATCAGGACTGCACAAATTTATTATAATTTTCCTTCTCCAGACTTAAGTAATTTAGACCTTCTCTTCTTCCATGAGCTTCAGGCAAGTACCACCATCTACCCAAATACCTACAGCAGAATGAAATCCTTAGATCTCCACTTCTCCCATAGTGAGAAGGGAATAGATCGTTCAAAATCCTACATTACTTTGACAGCTTCTGCATTTACTTTGATCCTTTGCTAATATTGCTGCCATAAAAACCTACTTGGAAGGGTGAGGAAAGCTGAATGCCTTGGAAGCCTGACAGTGAGTTTGTGTTACACAATTCACTAGCTCTCCTTTTCCCAAAACGCAAACTATACAAAACACATAGCTGTGCAGTGATCCAGCACACCAATGTTAAGTATTGCCCAATTCTACTTAAGTGTTCCTTAAACAATGTATGTCCCACTTCAGTTACTGAGAGGTCATTCTTCAACACAAGATTAAATTAATCACCTAAAATGTGGATATGATGAACCTTTTTATTAAAATTACATTTCAGCAGCTGAAATAATTGCCCTAACATACCTCCGAGATGCACATTTTAGAGACGTAAGAGAATAAATGAATTTTAAAACCATAATGGAGCAATTTTTTGGAAGGGATTTCAGTCATACTTCAAAACCTGTATCCATTGGATTACTGTGATGTTTCCTGCCTCTTTCTCTGAAACGTTAAGTTTTAGCCTCTCTTAGAAGAAGGTAGTGAACTGGATGAGTTGTTGCTCTGAACTGGCGTGGCAATTTTTGTATCTTCAGTGAGCACAAATAACAAGTTAGTTATCTGCTTTGTTTCTGCAAATCAGTGAACCACAGAAGTAACTGGATGGAACACCTACAAATAAAACTAGCCTGCTAGAAAAAATATGCAGTCAAAAAAGACACCTTTGAACACTTGAGTCAGCATGATCATCTGTTGCAGCTATTGGGAGCACTTTCTTTCTGTCTGAATCCATTCTGATTTCAAAATCTGAAAACAAAACAACAAAACAACAAAACATTTAACACTGCAAGAGGTTACAATTAATGTTCTCATCTGAACATTAATTGTTCAAACTGTGTTCAAATGAACAGCTCATTTTAAAAGTATTTAATAGACACCACCACCACTGTTTCTGTTGTTATTTTCTAATAATTTACATATTACTGATGGCTTTTCCCTCCCTGCAATAAATATAAAAAGCTATAGCTTGCACATCTTCAGAAAAAAAAATTTGTTTTTGGAAACTGTAGATATAACTTTATGGACGTGAAATCACGGTTTAAAGAAACTAGGTTTGATTACAGTCTGTCAGACCTACTCAGATTTTCCTGTAATCTGATTCCTCATTAGAAATATTTAGGAAGAAAATTATTACAAATACAGAAAAATTGGTAAACTGGGTAGCTGGCAAAAAAATAAGCAGTATCAAAATATAAAAGAAACCAAATGTTATTAAATGATCACCTGTCAAAGAAGGTCATATCCAATTTCATAAACAAAAGTAGAACCCAAACCTTACCAGAGCTTCAGAGAAGAAAAAAGTCAGAGAACAAAAGAAGGCTGCTGTTTGGCTTTGTTTAGATGTGATTTAGTACTAACATGTCAACTTTCTAAAACAGCTGGCAATATTGGATTTACGTACAATTAACATCTGCTTGCTGATACTTAACAAAAAGTCCAAAGCAGTTTTGTAAATAAAAGCAATCATGAAGTTTCAGTAAATTGACTTAAAAACTAACAGAAGCATCCTAGAAAGTAGATTCGCCAATCAAGGACATAATTTGTTAAAAGATTTGTGTCTTCAAAATGTTACACTTTTAATCACTTGCACCCCAGACAAATTTGTTACTTTATTATTTTGGGGGTTTTAAAGCTACATTTAAAGGAGTATGACAGTAATTTGGCTTCATACCAATATGATATTTATATGGCAGCTGAACATTTTCCTGAAACATGTTCTCATCTCCCAGAAGTTCTACCAGTGCCTCCCGAGCTTTTCTGAGATTAAGAGATACTAATAAGGAGAAATTCTCAGTCAGCCCAACTGCAGGCTTCATGAAGGAAGGGCTATCAAGTTCCATACATGTTTTCACACAGTGAAGCATCATTTCATTTTGTTCTTTGTAAACATCATCTGAAAAAGGATACAAAAAAAATATTACATCCAACATATCACCTCACAGAATTTTTCATTTTATTACCATTTATCGTCTGTTCTGGCAGAGCAAATGCATTTCAATACAGGAATCAAAACTCAACTGTTTTCTCAATGAATATTTTTGCATATCTTCAACATACACCATCAATTCACTAATTATAGTATTAAAGTCTACAGCTGGGACCTGCCCATTTACCATCTTTCCCCTCTACCGTACATAGCTCTGTGTATGCTATCAGTTATTACAGCAGACTTCAGGAGAACATGGAATGACAGAGAATGCATAAAAACCATTTATAAAATCCAGACAACTAGAAGGCTATTTATAAAACAAAGAAGGGATATCAGAGTTGGCCATAATTTTGAAACTGTACTTTAAGAGTACTAAGCTGCACAAACTCTAAGCAGTTACAGCTTTACAGCTTTCAGGTTCAGTCAGCAGGGTCAACACCAAGACAGTGTTTGACTCTACGTTGAATTTCTACTCCACTGAACTACTCTACTGGCTGTAGAGAATTGTAATGTGGAAAACAAATTCTACTACAAACCATTCCAAGTTTCTCATTGTAACTCAGAGGAGTCAAAAAAACCTTTTACCCATGATTCCAGGTACTAAAGTTGGTTTACAAAAGTTAAAACTTCCTGTGTTTTTAAAAATGCCTGAACAACTGCCGAAGATAGAACCCTTGGCTCTTACACATTTCTACCATTTCCACAAATCTCATATTCACCTCTCTCCATGTGCACACCTACTATTAAACTGTTGCCACCATGGGACCCAGTAAGTGTGATGCCCTAGTGCAGGAACAGATCACTTAGATCACCATCACTACATTAGCTTTGTCTTGAGGACTTCAAATTTAATATTAATCATGTTTGAATAAAGAAATTTCTAAACTTTTAACACAATTACAACAAATTATGTACGGAGGCAGACTATCCCTTTTAAAACAAGAACATGACAAAGTAAGGCCTGACCTGACCTTCTGCAGCAGCTCATCAAGAGCACGATGAGGAAGATATCCCAAGATGCAAAGTGCATACACTGCCTTCAGCAGCTCTGTGTTGGAGATCTGAGGGAGGTACTTATTCAAGCAGCTATGAAGAGTCTCAAAAAACCTTTTCCGAAAGCAGAAGAAAAGTATCTAAATACACAAATAAAGCTATATAAAATACAGATTTCAAACAAAAATACAATTTAGAAATCTTTACTCTCTTGTATAATCAGGTGTTGTGTAATCTAACATTAGCTTTTGCATCTTCTTTCACGACATGGCTACCTATCAACAGATTTAGTAGCCTGGTCAGTCTAGAACCAAGGTCTCCATTTTAAATTACAGAGAAAAATTCCTGTGTAGAAAAAAATGTGAAAAGACACAGCAAATTTGCCTTACAGATTAATAAAACAGGACTATGAACTCTTTCACAACTGAAATCAAATACTAGTTGCCATACATTAACTCTATAACGACCACATAATGTATTATCAGGCATTCTAAATGAAACCTACAGATGCTTTTGGCCTTTGGGAACATAGTTGAGTCGTGAATACACTCGGAGAACAATCAAAAGGTTTTTCAAGTTGAGGAATTCAGGGTCTTCTGTCACCTTCTCAGCAAAAATACCCATCAACTCCCTAGGCTGAAAGCCAAGTGTCTCGAAGGCAGAAAGACAAAGGATAATCTAAAAGAAAAGATAGTTTTATAAGGTCAAGAAAGACAGTAAAGTGGATCCTACCCGTTGATTTCATAAAAGGCATTTTTAATGAAAGCAAATTTTTCAAACTGTAACACTCCTTTTATTTCTTATTTCTTTATTCATCAATAAATAGAAGAGCACTTTAAAAATGTAACTGTATCAACTTCATCAGATTAGTATTCCTAAAAAATCTGTTCTCCAAAGATCAAACACAAACATGAAGAAAGGTAAGATGGAAAGCACCAGATACTGTACTAGTACCACCATAAATTATGTGGTGTCAAACTCACCTGTCTTTTGTCCCAAAGGCAGGCAGTAGAATTAAAATAGTCTGCTAATGCTGAAAACAGTTTTACATTACGGTACTGGAGATTATAACAAGCTTCCAGAATGAGAATTAACTGCCGAAATGGAACATCGTGGACATTCTCTGTAACAGAAGAGCAAAAAAGGAAAAATGATACAAGGCAATTGGAGCTGTAGGTTGGAGACATTGTGGCAGCAGTTTGGCTAAGGGATGGAGGAGGGGGGAAAAAAACCAGACAAGGAACAGTGGAACAGACTGAAACTAATGAAGCAAAGTCAACTAAACTAAAACACATGAAGAAACTGACAGGTAGAAGAAACCAAACTGAGTCAGAATCAAGCTAGAAGGGATAAATCAGCAAAAGGGGACAAATTAACACAAGAAGCAAGAAGACTGTGTTCCCAGAACATCTTCTGTTCCAGGATTCTTGATTTTCAGCACCTCCCTGCACTCAGCGTGGAAGCCCTCAGGCTAGCCCCTTTAGCACTGATTGAGCCTTTGGGCTGTCCACCTTACCATGTCAGCTGAGGGAGTAACAAAGAGGCAGATCTAAAGCTGCTGACTGATCAGGTATTAGCACATCATGAAATTTACTTTTTTTTTTCCCATTTGGTTTTACAAAATGACAAGAAACCACAAATATGAGTCTATGCCTAAAAGCACTAAAGGCTATCAAGCACCAAAGCATTAGCGTATGCCAAACTGGAAACATGGAACCATAACATAACCTCCTGGCATATGAGTGTGATGACACAGATTGACTGAGTGCCAGATGACAACTGACTTCTGCACAGGACTGCTGCTTCATTTGCCACACAAGATGGACCTACTCCTGAGATGAAAAAGATTAAGTACTGAAGAACAATGCTGTCTTGAACATCTGGCTTTGTTTACTGCAATGAGGGGCATACATGTCATAAGACAGTGACTGCAGGAGAAAGAGCATAGTTACAGTAAGAGGACCAGCACCCATCAAAACTAGACTTTATCTTTTGCTCTGCCAGAGGACTCAAGAGGATAGCAGGAAAATAACTGAAATTAACTCCTCTGACTTGTGCTCAGTGATTTTCCAGGCTCAGCATAAAACACTGTTACCTCATTTCTTGAAGTGCTGAGTGCTGACAACTGTGACTGAAGCCAATGAGAGCTGTGCATCAAATAAAAATATTTGTAATGCTAGGTATTCTTAAAGAAAACAGGCTAATGGAATCTCCTATTACTGGACACTTTGACCTTAATCTCTCTCTTCTGCATAATTAGAATATGAGTAGCACCACTGGGTCACTCCCATGCTGCTGCAAAAATTCACTCAATAAGCACCTACGAAGTACAATTCTGGTCAGGTCCCCAAGTATGGGAGAGGGGGCTACTTTCTTGAGAGCCCCAGCAACAGCATAGGACCAGGAAAACCTGCTGAAGAACTCCATTGCTCCATGGGCCCCAAAGTGTGCCCCTCCCTCCTCTTCCTATGCCTACTCCAGCCTCAGATAGGGGTCATTTCTGTCCAGAAATTAATCACTGTCCCCAGAGTATCATTTGCACAATGTGCAGCATGTAAGTCCAGAGAACATGCACTAGAAAAATGCAGGAAAAAGGTACTGAGTAGCTACTCCCTCTGTGTGTGTCATCTAGCCTGTGTACTGAGTGGTGAAAATCCTACGCGAGAACCCAGTATGTGTAATTAAAGACCGTGTCCTAACACATAGGAACAACCAGGACAAAGAAAGGCTGTACAAGCCAAACACTCCTGGTTCATTTATGTTAAGAATGTTATTTTGTTATCTTAATGGTTTTTTAGACACAAATTCATATGTATTTTAAGTGTGAATCAATACATACTGACCACATATACTTAAGAAATGTATTGTAAAGGTATGGAGAGAGGTGAAAGCATGAGCTTTCATTTAATTTTTTTCTGGACTGCAGCATGAGGTCAGTTATTGAGCAGCATTCAATAATTAAATCCAGTTAATCAGAGAAACACTATGTTCCCTTTAGTTTATCAGCTAATCACACTAAGCCACCAATCCATCCTGTAAGATGTCCACTTCTGATTCAGATTTAAAAGTTTATCTGAAATCTATTTTTTCTTGCTAGAATTCAATTCTTTTTACAAAGTTCTGTATACAGAAAAATGCAAAGAAAAATATGCAATTCAGGTAAATGTTAAGAAAGGCAGAGACAACAAGAGCTATTTGCTTTCATTATCGATCAGTAATTTTCTGTCTTGCTGCTTGTCAAACGGCTCCGCATTACTATAATATCCTGTAAAACAAAGATGTTTCCTGAGTTTTAAAGGAAATCAGAAAAGGGAGATGAGATAATAATGAAGAAGAATTTGGTATAAGGAAGGGAAATTGAATAAACATTTTTTCTTACCCTGGATCTTTTTACTGCAGGCATTCAGGATTGGAATGGAACAATAATTCATTGCAACAAGAGCCAAAAACACACGCAGAGCATTCGGGAAAGTCAGATGGTCTAACTCTTTCAAAACTGCCATCTAAAGGGAATTAGACTTTATTAAATCCTTCATTCTTCAGGTATATTGCCATTGCTTTCTGGTGAAGGCATTTTTACCAATACTTCCCCAAATTACTTACCCTGTCCAGACTTTTATGAAAGAAAAAGGAGCAACAAATGGCAAAAGCATAAAGTAACTACTCTCAATTTCTTAATACACACTTAGAGCAGACCAAGTGTTCTCAAGCCGTGTCACAATGCAAGTTCCCAACAATTTGCCTTTATATGGTTTTTTTTTTTTAAAGAAAGAAGTCTCAGTAAAGCTCATTTCCAAATACTGTGAAGTCTTCTACTGACTCTTAAAAAAGTAACAGAAATATAATTGGCACAGTTGACTTATTTAGTAGTACTCCAATTACTGTTTTGGATGCACGTGAAAGCTGTAAGTCTTCAAAGTGACCCAACAGCACACCAAAATGGTGTATCTTTAATACAAACACCCTGCTACAAATGTGGACTGAGGCAAAGAATGTTGGCTCTGATGCCACAAGAGACTTCCTTTATCAAAGCAGTGATTAGATTGATAAAAACGACAGTAAAATTTAGACTACAAAGTATACTGCCTATTAAAATACAATATTCTTACTGCATGCATATCAAACGTTAAATATAAAATATGTCTACAATAGAAATTACACAGTATTAAAAATAGCACCCTGTAGACTCAGAAAGTTAAGAGCTCCCTTCAGTTAACAAGTGGAAATGTTACTTTCCTCTCAGTTCCATATTCCACCACATCTTCAGCCAGTTTCTCACTATCTTGTAAAGAGTGGTACCTTGTTCAAGGTTTTACGATTTACTTATAACTAACACACCGCATGAGCCTCCCACACTGCTCTATTCTTGCCCGGTTTCCCACCAGTGGTATCTTCCCTCACTTCCTCATGAATGCTATTACAAACTCTGACCTCAGAGCCCTTCAGCTGTGTGATGGAAACACTAGCAGGCCCTGTTTGAAAGAAGGTTGCAAAAAGGGTCTTTAGTCTTTATGTCAGGGTACGGAATCCAGTACACCGTGCCATAAAACCCACAGCCTGCTCCCAACCACTGTATTTCCCAGGGGACCTTTCAGACACACAGAAAGATAAGGCCATGAGCTAGGTGAGTTCTCCTGGCATCTCACTCCCATCAGTCCTTTAGCCCTGTACTTTCATTGGACACAGCCCCATCACAGACTAGTTTTCTGCCTTCTTGTCTTCCAGCTACAAGCTGGGCAAGAGAATCGGGGAACAGCACATGGCCAACCCAAACAAGAGATGAGAGCACTGCTATTTTACTGCCTCAGTTACTTTCATACCATCTCCATCGCTTTCTGCCCCCTTTCATGGTGGTACATTCCCAGCCTCCAAATTTAAGTTCTTCCTGCAGATGTAGCTGGACTATGACTCATATAGCAAATGCAGTTAACCTTTCTATTGCATTTTCTCTCCGAGTGTCTGGAACGAATTGTACACAATCTATAAACAATGCAAGAGCACAGGCTTTGTGGAAGTAAAAATGAGTCTCCAACTAAATTTACCTCCAATTTCTTTTTCAGAAAGACTGGAGCATCTTTTCCCATGCATTTCATCAGGTTTTGCAGTATAAAGATGTCTCTGATACTTGGAATGCGTTGCTCCACTAGTAATCTGATGAAGAAACACAGACAAGGCCTTCAGCTAGAGAGAGTAACTGTTTAATAGAGCTTTCCTCATTTCAGCAGAAACAGGTAGGCATGCCCCTTCTTCCTCGCTGATATACTCCCAAGATAAAGTTGTAATTCCCTCCTCCCCTCCCACCTCCTTTTTTGCAAGGCCAGCATAACTCTACACGATGTAGCTACAGCACAGATATTTTGCACATGGCAATAACTATATATGCTTTCTTATGTTATCCTGATAGATAGTGTTGTTGCTGATACGTTAACAGCAGGGCCACCTGACCAAACTGCACATGTGACTATTTTTATCATAGAATCATCCATGTGCAGGCAAGTTCTGAAACAGCTAGGAAACTTGGGGATGGACACTGACAACAACTTGGTGCAAGTGAGTAAAAAAACCCAAAAAAGCAGTGCTGTGGGCTGCAGGAACAGAAGGGGGTATCATACCACAGAGGGATCACAAGCACAAGATGAAGGAGTTCAGCATTCCCAGCACCTCCGTTTCTGGCTCAGAGGGAGGTATTGTAATTATTATGTCTGAATCACCCTTAAATAAACCAGTACAGCTACAAAAATATGAAGGGTTACTTTCTAAGGCAGTGCACTGCTCTGAAAGACATCTCTGCAGATGCAGCTTCCTGCAAATGGGCAAGAGCTCCAGACATGAAGACAAGAGAGAGACCTGTAGATGGATCTCACGCTTTCTACCAATTTACAAGAACTGTGTACCTGAGCTTCCAGGAGAACCTGTTTAACACATCCACCTTCTCAAAGCACAACCTGACACAGGACCAAAATTACTAATCCATGGCAAATTTTGTGACAGCCTCAGTAAAAACAATTTCATGGGAGTGAGCAGATTGATTACCCGCATAAATCTCATTGGCCCAGAGAAAAATCACTACAGACAAAAAAGTTATTCTCATAAAGCACTACACAGAAGGCCTTGCTGGGTGCACAAAGTCTAAACTTGCCTTCATCTTAATTTTTACTTATTAAATTAAAATATTTCCTGGCTGTTAAACAGCACTTTTCATTGTGACAAACCAAAACACTTCACAAAGTAAGCTAGTCTCATTACCTCCTTTTTACACAGGGGTAAAACAGAGGCATAGACATACGAAGCGACTTGATCAACATCACACAAAAATCACATCGGTGGAGCTGCAGCCAGAATATGCAGAGCAGCCTAGCACCCTAAGCCATTGCAAGCCTTGCTGCTTGAAACTGCGAAGACAATGCCAAAAATCACTGTCATGTACAGCTGATACCTCACATGATCATTTAAGTCCGAAACCCACAGTATATCTTCTATGCGCAGACATTCCCTCTGTGATTTCTAACATACACTCAAACATTTAAATATGAAGAAATGTGAAAGATGTATTTTTCTCACTGTAATCCAGCTTGAAGAGCGCTCACATTCTTGTCTTTATCCAGCCCTGCTAAAGTAGTTGCCAAAACTGAGATACATCGGTTATCGAATTGATTGAGCTTCTCCTGTTAAAGAGTTTTCACAATGTCAGATTACTTCAGACCAGTAAAAGTTTCAGAAAAGAAAAACTGACCACTCTTAATCTGTACCCACCACCTTCTCTTTCCCCCCACAAGTCAATTCATAAGCTTTAATTCCACAGTGACCTACAACGTCTCACATCAGTCAAATTTAGTTGATTTGAAAAGGGTAATGATTTTTGAGACTTCTCCTCCATGTTAAATCTGTCTGAAATCAGGCAATGGTTTAAAAAATGAAGGAAATTAGAAGCACACACAAATTAACTACAGGAGTCCTGTTTCCACGGAACATCAGACTAAACCGGGGACATAACCCAACCGTCTCTGATGCTTCACAGCCTCACAGAATTAGCCTTGAGGTTTCAGCCCAAACTAAGAAGAGGGATTTTGAGACTTACTTGGCATACTCTCACCAAAGTCTGGACTAGGCGAGTGTTCTGAGGAACACCTAGGTTCACCACGGCATGCAGAGTGAACACCAGGTCACCCCGTGTCATCCTTCTGGAGTGCAGCAGCAGCTGCTGACAAAGCTTGACAAAAGCTGGGTGCTCAAAGATCAGCTGCTTCTCGTAACGCTGCTGGTCTTCGGACAGGTTTTTGAAGAGCCTCCATACTGTAGTTAAACAGTTTGTGAAGTGCTTAACGGAAACCGCAGACTCTGAAGCCAAGTCCAGTACATCGCAAGGACAGGTACATTTCTGAAGACTATTAAAGAACTGTTCACTATGATCCACTACATGCTTCACTTCGAAGCTCCCAGAATCATCCAATTTTTCAAGTTCCAAGGAGCTTTGGGGAGCCTGCTCACTCACCAAAGCCTCTGTACTCTTCTCTGGTTGTATTTTAGCACCTGTGCTAAAAACATCTGTCTTTTGAGATAGAAATCGAAGAGATGATCCATGCAGAGAAGGACAAATATTTAAAAATAATTTCCCAAAGTTCACATTTTCCAGGGGAAATCTGTATCTGCCAATCCATAAAATGTGCTGCCTTGTGGCTGAAGATTTGGGTGTGAGCACAGAGTTGCACCTATGCATGCATCTAACGGTATTTAACAAATAACTTATTTTATTATTCATTTTTGCCAATGTATCATGAATAGATTTGAAATGCCAACTCAAAGTAAGGGATCCGATGAAATTCTACCAGTGAAAAGTCCTGGAGAAACTGCATATGATCACTTATCTGTAAAAACAATTGAAAATTATGGATTAGTTACCAGACTTCCAATTCCTAAAGTTTCAATTGCCAAATCTATGCACGTCTTTTACAGGAAGGGGGAAAAAAAAAAGATTTGGAAAGAGATCCCTGCAAAATTATTTGCAGAGGGACTTTTATAGGGTCTCCTACATTTTAGTCAAACATCTCAACACAAGGCTAACTCATCCTGGGCGTCAACCCTTTTTTCTTCTTTGCTGTTTTAACCAAAAACTATATCGAGAGGCAGAGTCTCTCTTCCTAACTGACGTTTCTCCAAGCAGATGCGTCTCCTGACAGGGCTCCGGTGGGTCACTGCCAACCTTCAGCTCCGGTTAATAGAGTCCTGCCCGGCTGCGGCCACAAACAGCCCGTC